TACTCTGTACTCGGTTCATCACAAGATCCCTCTCTACAGCGCCTACACATTGGACCCTAGATGCGCAATCGACACTGGAGGATCAAACATCTGGCACCTGGAGCCACAGGTGACTTACAATCAGAGTTGGGAAGATTGCTTTGGGAATGTAATAGGTTACAGATTACAAGTTACCCTATTTAAAATGTAGTGTAACTATTTCAATTACTTTATTAATGTAACATTACTTTTGATTACTTTTCTAAATTTCTAATGAATGTTTTCAACTGTTAATAATTTTCAGACATTTACACCAGACCGGTTTAACCTTACTAGTATTCAACACCGATTACTGTCAGACTCTCAGAATCCTTCAGCATTTGAATTAAGATTACAATCATTTTAAAACACAGCCACCACAAATTCAGACTTTAGTACCGCCTTTTACTTTGAGATCATTCTGAGGTTAAAAACAGATTTAAAATCATAAGATATAGTTTAACAGCTATGATACTGTTTATGAAATCAAATATTTGCATGCCTATGTCAGGAAACACTGGCATCTAACAATGCCTTGGGGAAAAAAAACTGTTAATTAAAAAAATAAATAAAGCATACACATCAAACAAATAGGAAATAAAAGCTATCAAATACGCATGTGTCCTAAAACAACTGGTGTCTTTTTGAAACATTGGTGTCTGTTTGTATATGATATGATAGTTTTCTCAAAAGAAACTGTAAAATGCTCATGCAGTGCAATTTGGGAAAGAACTCAATTCAATCTGTATGTGTATGTAAATATTCAGATGTAACCCCCTTTGTAATCGTTAACATTTTCATAAGTAATTGTAATTAAATTACAAATTTATTTCTTACTAACTGTAACTGATTATAGTTACATTTATTTTGTAATTTAATTACTTTTTGTTTTGTCATTGCAGCAACATGTCCTCCAACCAATACACCCGCATAGGTCGTTTGTCCAAATCCCTGAAATACGACCCATCAGAGCGTATTCTACAATTGCGCCCCTATTGGCAGGTTTCATATAGATCAGTTGGTAGAGCATTGCGTTATATGACAATATGCAATCATGTGATCATGGGTTCGATCCCAGAGAACGCACGTGCTCATAAAATGTTTATGCACTGTAAATCACGATTTTGCATGATTTCTGTGAGGGTAGGTTTAGGGGCGGGGTTAGGTGTGGTCATTCTATGAATTCGTATGAATTAGCCACCTAGTAAAATATATACAGATTGCCGTGAGATCGGGTTGGACCATGTAAAAAGTCCACAAATTGCATTTAAATAAACACGCATTTTGATTGGTAATGACAGTCATACGTTATTTCATGACGACAGATGCAACAAGACACTGTCATTATTTTTACGCTTTAAAACGTAAATATAGGTCGTAATAAGGTGCTTGCACAAACGACCTATAGGGTCGTTTTTTTTGTTGGAGGACAGTCTACATTTCAAACAGTATGAAAAATACACCCTATGAAACTAAGAAGGAAAACACACCCCTCAAAAGTATTTTCTTACAAGCGATAAAACATCAAATGACCATATTACATCATATTTCTTCTGCAGATTTCCCATCCTCAATCACCAATTGATCATATGGTCCGTGAGGATCAATATTATAAATACCTTTATAAAAGAAATCAAGCCATCAGCAGCGACTACAGTGGCACCGGATATGATCGTGGACACCTGAACCCCAACTGCTTCCAATGCGGTGACGGCCGTAAAGCGACATTCGCACTGACCAACGCTGCACCTATGAAAGAGCGTTTCAACCGTGTCCACTGGAGGAACTGGGAGAACACGCTGAGGAGATTCTTAAAAGGCATGCTTGACAGGGATGGTGGTTTTGCAACAGCCTACATTGTCACAGGTACAGTACCTGATCCCAATGTACGTATACCACACAGGGGAACCCCTGGAGATCGGTTTAGGGTGTCAGTGCCCTCTCACATCTGGACGGCCGTCTGTTATGAACACGACACTGATGACAGAAAGTCCTTATCCTTTGGCTACATTGGAAGAAACCAGCCAGAAGAGCCTGACATACGCCTGATGAGTGTCTCAGACCTGAATGATCAACTCAGCAGACTCTATAGGGAGCTCTCAGGGACCCAGCAGTCAATTGAGATTTTTGTTGATGATTGTTTTGGTTACAATAATAAATTTGAAGTTCATGGAGCGTTTAAGAAATTAATTAATATAAGCCCAGGCATCAGCCTCACTGATAATGGACAGATGTGCTTGTATGATCACCCCTGTGCCACATATGACTACGACTACTACTGGTGTAAGACTAGCCTTGGTTACATTAAAGATGACTGGGATTACTGCAGTCTCCACTGAGGCGCAGTAAAGCTATAAATGGAAAGTAGTGCCGCAGCAATCACGCCTGTGCCAAATGTTGTAAATACAAGCCATGGTGCTACACGGATGATGAAGGCAATTGTGTGCTGTACTTCTAATGATTGCTATTCATCTGTTAATCACAAAACCTGCAGGTCTGATCACCTCTGTGGCTACCATGGCTATAATTACCTGTGGTGCTACACAGATAGAGAAGGCAACTGGGATTATTGTTGCAGAAACTGTAGACAGTGGATGGTTTAATGTGCTTATTACAATTAATACTAAAGTATGACTTTGCAAAGTTAATTGTGATTTATAATTGCATTACTTACAAACCAACAAACTTTCTAACATAAAGTCTCTCATACATGTTTCTCAAATTAACACCAGCTTTAAATGTATTTTTCCCTGATCATTTGTATGCAAAAGCAAAAGGCTCAATAAAACATCTATGAACCTATAATATATTTGCAAATTCTTACACAAAGTACTGTAGTATGATTTGTTTCCAGTAAAAACACATCTCTGACATTTTATGAGTGTAGACTCACATAAACACATCTACGCAAAGCTTGAAGAACAACGATGTGATTTTCACGAGTAATAATTCAATCAGTGTCTGTGACGTGTGCACCGAGTCCTCCCTGCACTTACACTCCTCAACAGATGCCCCACGCTTGATATTCAGCCCGAGAAATGATCCATAATTTCAACTCACATTTATTTGTGTAGCGCTTTACACAATACTTTTTTTTGTGTTTTTTTACAAAAAATGTCTTAACGAGATAGTGTCATTTAAAAGATATATGCTTTTGTAACAATAAAACATTGTCGTTAAAACAATATTTTCTCAAAATAATGAGTTTTTTTTCATAAAAACAAATAATGGAGAATTATTTGTAATGGAGAATTGATATAGATCAGTGCCGTCACAATCATGCCAGGCTCTACATAAGACTGACCAATACTGAGTAGCCTACATCTTGGATTCGTTCAAACCTACAGCACACATTTATGCACAAACAGATTATTTTCTACATGTCTAATGTATTTAGAAAGAAAAAGAATAAAGAAAGAATAAACATGATTTATAAACTCATTGATTTAGCTCAACAACCTAAAATTTGATCTGCATGCACAATAAACCATAAAAAAGGTTCAGGTTTTTCCACGTGTTAATAAAAATGTAGGCCTATTTATTTAAACTAGTCATAAGCATATTTCCAGCATGTTTTGTTTGTTATTAAAGAAACCTGTATTGTGCATCAGGCTCGTTCAAGTCCTCAGTGATACAAGCACATGTGCATAATATCAGCAACTCACTCGTCGAAATCCTCTTCAAACTTCAAAATGTGGAGAAATGTGAATTTGTATTTTGGTCTCCTAAGAGGCATCTAGTAATTAGATTTTGAAAATGTAGTCACAGGTGTATCTATTTAACTAGTTCTCATTCTCTATTGTCTAACACCCTGACCAAGGCCTGTTTGGGCTGATACGCGTTGGTGTCTTAACATGTTGCACAATAAAGGCTTTTTATATTTTGCCTGCTATGTGAGTGCCTGGACGTGGAGTTTAGTATTAGTATTAGTTTTGTTTCTTGCAATAGGATCCAGTTTTTGTTTTTGGGTTCTGTCAGTGCTTTGGCAAGGGAAGGCTTTTTTTTTACATGCAATAAAGCCAAGTTCAAAGGCCAATTTAAATATTGGTACAATAAAAAGTGCAGTATTTTGTTTAGTATTTGTTTAGTATTCAGTGTTTGTGGCAGTTGAGAAATCATGTGAAATCGGTCCAAAATGTGTGCGTTTTTGTGCCAATGCGTTGTTAAAGGATCAGTGTGTCATGAAATATTCCCAACAAACTTTTAACAGCGCTTAATGGGAGCAGCGTCTTACACACAGAGGGAAGAATATCGCGTTATTGAAAGGGGAAGTTCACGCATCAATGAGTAGCATTCTGATTACTTTTATGCCACTGATGAGGCTTTTATATGTAGTTTGAGGTAACAGGGTTTTATATTTGACTGAAACAATGCAATAACGGACAACAATTGAACAAAAAACAGATAAAGACAAAAAGTAGCCACTGATAATATCTAAACATGTATCCAAATCCAAATGGAATAAAATTAATTTATGTGTGATGACAATTTCTTAGCAACTGGGGATTGTTAAATAGAGCTATACAGGCATCCAGTGGCTATAATGGTATTACAGATAATAAATTGTGCAAAATGTTTATCCTAACAGTCAATTTGCAAATAATGCGTTCATATTAGTGTACATCACAAAGCGCTGAATCTCCACAAATTAGTGCCGTTACTATGACAACCAATTTGAATGTGACAAAAAACTGATACATCACCATTCAGTTAGAAGTTTAAAAAAAATCTATACTTTTATTCAACAAGGTGACAGTAAAGATATACTTATTACAAATTGTTTATATATATATATATATATATAAATGCTGTTCTTTTACTTTGTATGAGGTGGAACCTCTGGATTGTTCTGATAGACCTTTGAAAACTGGCGACTCCGGTAAGAGAGTAAAGGGCTCAGAGAGTCACATCCAAGAAAGCTTTAATGAGTTGGGTTTATACAGGCCACTTTGGTGAGCATAAATGTATACAGGCAAAAGCATTGGGGTATTTGGGGTGTGTATGTGTGTGTGGTCTGAAATAGAGGAAAATTGTATAAATTAGATATAAAATATTACAGCCTTTCTATTAACTTAGTACAGATGTTAAACATTTACATTCTAAACATACACAGATAAATAATCATCAATGGTCTGAAATTCTCTTACAAATTCACAATTATGATAGTGTAGCATCTCAAACAATCTTAAAATGGCTAACAGATCAAGATTTATATACAATGCACTATTGCACGTGGAACTAGCATGTTAGCTACCTAATGTAGATTAGCAAATAACATAATACTGTGCAAATATGCGCTTACAAGATTAACAACATCATCACAATAACATCAACATTATTGACATGCATGTTTCTGCTAGAGAATGCAAAATAAACTTACTTTTCTGCATGAACGCACACAACTTTAAAGCTCGGATGCTCACTCTGACCCAGCACGTGTGGTGTATAAAACGCAGCGTCTTAAAGGGAAGGTGTATAGGTATCAGTAAGATGAAAGATATGCGCCATCTAGTGGTAAAATATTAAAGTGAAACTAAAGGAAAAGACTTTCCTACATTGCCGCCCCCAAATTTAGTATCTAAATTTGTAATTATTTAGGAAAGTCTCAGTGTCAGTTACTATTTTCTTCCTCGTCCTCCCACGATGGCAACTTAACTAACCGGGCAACAGGCCGTAGATAAGTGCGCCCTTTCACTTGCACTTCTGCAGTGCGTATACGATTATCTACTCCTGCAAATGTTTTAGTCACTCTGCCAATAGGCCACAAAGCTCAGGGCAACTGTGGATCAACTATCATGACGATCTGTTCAGTACTCAGATTGGCAGTGTCCTTACGCCATTTTTGGCGGGGCTGTAGGCTTGGTAAGTAATGCCGGATAAAGTTTACCCAAAAGTGATCAGCTAAAATTTGGCTGTGTCGCCACCGTCTTCTCCCTAACAGATCACTAGATGAGTAGATTGCTTGTGGGAGTGAGGCATCCCGACGACCCATCAGTAACAGATTCAGTGTGACAGGGTCTGGGTCGGCAACATCTGATGAAACGTAACCGAGTGGCTTAGAGTTGAGGATTCCCTCGACCTCTACCAACACTGTACGCAAGACTGCTTCAGTCACTGTTCGATTGCCCAAGACTACCCGAAGAGAAGTTTTCACCGACCGTACCTCTCGCTCCCAGGTTCCTCCAAAGTGTGGAGCATGTGGAGGGTTAAACTGGAAAGCAATTTCCTGGCCGGCTAGATGTTCTTCAAGTGGACCTTGTAACGATGCGAAGACTTCCTGGAGTTCAGTGGCTCCTCCTCTGAAGTTTGTGCCTCTATCAGCCAGTATCTCATATGGCTTACCATGATGTGATACAAATCGTCTTAATGCCATCAGGAAGTGATCCATGCTCTCTAAAAGATCAAGATGTATGCAACTTGTTGTCATACATTTGAATATGATGCCCCAGCGCTTCTCTGTGCGTCTGCCTATTTTAATAGTGAAAGGGCCAAAACAGTCTATACCAGTGGACCAGAAAGGTGGTTTGTACAGTCTTAGTCGTGAGGGGGGCAAGTCTGCCATCTTCGGAATTACAGGACTTGCTCTCCACTTTTGACAAGTCTCACAATTGTACTGGTGTTTCTTGATGGATTCTCTGCCACGCAGGATCCAGTACTTGCGTCTGATTTCACCTAAGACCCGTTCTGGACCTGGATGCAGAAGCTGGTTGTCATATTCTTTGATTAAGAGCATTGTAATCTGATGTTTAGGGTCTAGTATTATGGGATGTATTGTGTCTGGATCTAGGCCCTCAGCTCGGCGGAGTCGTCCCCCGACTCGGATTAAGTCAAGTTTTTGATCATACTCGGCAGAAAGTGAAGCAAGATGACTCTGGGCCGATATGGATTTACCTTTGGTCATTTTCCTCTTCTGGGAAGCTGTCCCTCTGAGCTTGTCTTAACAGGTGTAGTTCAGCTGCTATGACATCTGCTGCAGTCATGATAGCAGCCGCTCCGTGAAGGGACAGTTGAGTAGCCTTCAACAGTTCTTTCCAACTCTTAATATTGGAGATGTCAGGTTGAGACTTGACAAAACATGCATTTCCACAGAATGATTGTTTTTTCAGCTCATCACGGTCATCAGGAGCTGCTAATTCAGGCAGGGATGGCCAGGTGTTGGGATGTTGATGGAGGAACAGTGGTCCTTGACTCCAGTGCTGAGATTTGCTCAACTCTAACAAAGTCTTCACCCTAGTCAGGTCATCCGCTGGGTTATTGGTGGTATTGACATATCGCCAATTTGACCCTAAAGTCTTGTCCTGGATTTCAGCGATGCGTGTCCCGACGAAGACTTTGTAGCGACAGGAGTCTGATCTCAGCCAGCTCAGGACTGTTGTTGAATCGGTCCATAGAATAATATCACTCGCAGGAATAGACAGCTCTTTACTGAGCAACTTTGCCAGCTGCGCTCCTGTGAGAGCTGCACAAAGCTCCAAACGGGGAATTGATATCTGTTTGCAGGGAGCCACTCTGGACCTTGCCATCACAAAGGCTACATGGATCTGGTTTTGCTGATCTTGAGTGTGAAGGTAAGCGACCGATCCGTATGCCCGTTCAGAGGCATCACAGAAGATATGGATGGTTCTCTGTGTGCCTTCTGTGTCAGCACATGGTGGTATGTATGCTCTGGGTATCTCAACAGTGTGCAAATTGGCCAGCTCGGCCTCCCAGGCTTGCCATTGTACTAACAGGCTTTTCGGGTGGATGATGTCATCCCAACCAATCTTGAGTTTCCAGAGATCTTGAATCAGTATTTTTGCTTTTGTTGTGAAGGTTATAAGATATCCAAGTGGGTCGTACTGTGTAGCCAGTACTTTGTACACGTTTCGTAGTGTGGGTTCAGAGCAGTCAACTTGGCGATGTTGGTATCCAAGGTGGTCAGTGAGACAATTCCAACGGAGACCTAAAGCTGGCTCTTGTGGGTCTGAACAGTGTTCCGAAAGCCACAGTTCAGTTCTGGCTGCTCTGGCTTCAACTGGAAGGTGTTCTACTACAGCAGGTACATTACTGGCCCACTGGCGAATTTCAAACCCACCAGAAGACAAATGACTGCGCATCCTGTCGATGAGGTTACGGGCCTTCTCTGGGGAGTCAAGACTCTGCAAACAGTTATCAGCGTAGAATGCCTGTTCTACAGACCTTTGAACATCTTTGTAGCCTTCACTGTTGTCTTTCACATGTCTTTGTAGCGCATATGTGGCACAACAAGGACTGCAGGTAGTCCCAAATGGGAGAACCTGCCACTCAAAAACACTTGGCTCTTCGTCCCTCTTCATGTCCCTCCAGAGGAAGTGTAACAGTGAGCGATCTTCTGTCAAAAGTCTGATCTGGTGGAACATTGTTTTAATGTCTCCACTGATAGCCACTGTGTGCTCACGAAACCGGAGTAGGACACCAAGAAGGGAAGGACCCAGGATGGGACCAGGAAAAAGGTGATCATTCAGCACTTGTCCTCTGTACTGATATGAGCAATTGAAAACAAGCCTTGCTTTATTATTGTGGTGGACTCAGTGATGAGGGAGGTACCATGACTCAGTAGAGGAATCTACAATCTCAGGTGTCAATCTCTTTACATAGCTTGCAGTTTCCAGCTTCTGGATCTCTTGACAATATGTCATGGCTTGTTCAGTGTAATTTACGATCCTTCGCTCTGTACTTCGAAGCAGTGAAAGACAAGCAGATTTGGGTGCTTTTAGACAAGGACTGTCCTTCCGTCTGAGAAGTGGTGTGGCATATCTCATGATGCCATTTACATTCACCCTTACAGTGCGCTGCTCAAGCAAGTCAAATGCTTGCTGATCAAGCTTGGATCGGGTGGCGGCTTTCTCACTGATATAGGGCAAAGTGTCAATTTGCCACAATTTCTCCACATGCTTCTGAAGATCAAAGTGGGTAGGTTCAACTGCAGTAAAGAAACACTGCTGCTCATAAAAGGGGAGAGGAATCAAGCTGGCAGGACCTTGAAGTGTCCAACCAAGGGAAGTACATATTGCTATAGGTCCCCCAGAAGGGCCAACACAAACAGGCTGAGTAGGGATGAGCAAATGTGGAAAGTCGGAACCAACCAGTAGTACACTTTGTCAATTGCTGGGATTGGCAGTCCCTGTAAGTGCCTGTACTTCTTCATCAGTACTTTCACTGGGTAACTATGCTCGGAAAGACCCAGGTCATCAGCTGTGAATGCATGATCGATCTTGTATCTATGTCTTGGGTTGTCAGCTGGGGAAATTTCGAAAGAAACAGATGCCCCTTTCAGGTGAACAACCTCATGTCGTACAGTTCTCAGTGAGAGTGTTTCTGGTTCTTTCTGTAGCTGGAGATAATGTGCAGCGGAAGAAAGGAGGATAGTCCGCTCAGAACCATCGTCCAGCAAAGCATATGCCTCAAGTGAATGTTCGGCATTATGCAAAAGTACTTTGACCACCTTTAACATGACCTGTTGAGGACGGTTGGGACGGTCAAGATAAATGGTGTCTGGAGGGGTACTAACCATGAGAATCTTGTTGGGCTCCTGTATATTCACATCATGTAGTACTGTGAGATGCTGCTTCTGACATATATTACAGGGCTTCTTGAGGGTACAAGCCTCAGGTTTGTGATTGCGTCCACAGCGGTAACAACTTTTGCCTTTAAGCCACTCGGCGATCTGGGTAGTTGTCAGTGACTTGAATTTTGAACACAAACTGAGATAGTGCTCACGTGTGTCACATTATGGACAGTAAGGTTTAGGCTTGTCTCTGGGCTTTGGCGGGAAGATACGGTGAGATGAAGAGGTAAAGGGTTATTTATCTGGACTACTACTGGTGTTGTAGTACACAGAAGATAATGGCTGACTCTGACTTATCTTCCCTTTCCTCCAAGGCTTCATCTGCTCTTGAAACATGTCAACAGCTCTGCTGGAGATGTGCTTTGCCTGTGATTTTAGCTGAAGCCATGCTGATAGGTCCAGAAGAGTGTATGTTTTTTCTGTCCCTGTGATAAGTATACCACGACTTAGACCATGCTCAACAAACCCATCACGGTAGCTGGCAGGCAGTTTGACTAAAAGTCTGTCTACGTGTGAGCCACATTTCAGTTCGTAGCCATTCTCACCCTCCAAAGAACGAAGCATGCCCACAAGACCGTGTATTGAGAGCGCAAAGTTATCAAATGCTTCAGCATCCCCTACTCTGACTGGTGGAGAGTTCAATATAGCTCCAAGTTCACTGTGTACAAGTTGACGGGGTTGCCCATATTTGTCTTGGAGGACTTGCAATGCAGTCGTGTATGGAGTGAGGTCATGCATGTAGGCTTGTGCTAATTTGTAGTCACTTGGTAGCTTTAATCTGTCTAGCAGCACTTGATATTTAAACTGCTCTGTGAGATGAGCATGGCCACCTATGAGACTGTCTAGTGCCATTTTGAGTAGGGCAAAGTCAGACTCCTTACCACTATCAAATTTAGGGAGAGCTGGTTTGGGTATACCATAGGAGCTAGCAATCAACATGTCCATCATTGTAAGTGGGGCTGGTGGCTGTACACCAGGAACACTAGGTACTGATAATGGCTGTGGGCTAAACTGCAGTTGCCTAACAGGTTGTTGAAACTGACCTATTGGAGGATGAGGTTGAGAGTCTGCTGGGACTAAAAAGGTAGGTTGCTGGGCAAAGCTGGTCCCTGTTGAATCTTGAGACATATTTGGTTTAGCTAGAGATGTAAGGTTGGCACCTGACTGACCTAGACTATAGGTTTGTCTATCAAAAGACAAGGATGGCTGCACTGTTGTAGGAGGGTAAACATCTACAGTAGACAATTTTACCTGTTGGGGGGACACGCTTAGCGATGCTACAGGATAGATTGGAGAAGGAACAACAGTTACAGGTTCTGCATGTAATGGTTTGGATGTAGAGAGAGATGTAATGTGCTCAGGAACAGAATGTGAAATCGTAGGCTGAATAGTGACAGGATTACTCTGATGTAGGTAAGGTGTAGAGTGCTGTGTATTATCAGAAACAGTAACTGATGTGGTGTGTGGTGAGCAACCTCTACCTTCTGCGCACAGAGTATATCGGCCTGTACCTGCCCTGGGTCAAGTTCACTTCTGGCTTGTGGAATGGCTGTTGCATTTTCAGTCTGTTTCTTGAAGAAGTGATGCGATGAGATGTGCTTTCTCCAGTTCCATCTCCTTCTGCTTAATGCGGCGCTGGCTTTCGAGCTGTTTGGTGATCAGTTCTTTGGTCTTGTGTGCTGCACAAGCCTCTTCATCTAGCTGAGGACTTCTCCTCTGCTGTTCTCTGAGTAAATCTTCTCTCTCATATAGCGCAAGGCATGCTTGTTGATCCAGGAACTCACACTGCTCTTCAGCTTTGCTCTCCTCCACCATCTGTCTCTGCATCTCTGCAAGCTCCATGCTCTTCAGTTTCTCCTCTACAATAGCTGCCTGTAGCTCTGTCAGTCGTGAAGCTGTTGTCCGGCTGGATCCACCACTTCTGCTGGTCTTTGTTCTGGATTGGCTGTGATGTGAACTTGCAGACGAATGTGCTGAAGGTATTCTGCAAGACACAGGCAGTTCATCTAGTTGTGCAGCTGGAATGGTAGCCACTGACATCATACTGCTGACATCTGCACTGTATGGGTAAATCTCCATCACGTGCATGCTTTCACATTGAGCAGCATTAACTACACAGAGCCGTTG